CTACATATATGTACCTCGGGTACATATATGTAGTACCTGATATGACAACGACCCCTTCAGCATGACTAACCACTAGTACAGCAATGATGATTATTCACCAACCTGCTAACGGCCTGGCTGACAGAGACTCCCAGATGCAAGGGAAACGGCCTTGCCACGGCTGTAACCCAGAACGAATATTACAAACCCAACGCCGGTACACGCGACTAGAGCGATAAGTGAATGTGGCCAAATATTTGCTGCACAATAGCGCAGTCATGTACGCATAATCGTAACACTGCGCATTACACAACAAATAAACTCAAACAATTTTTTTAACAATTTTTTTAGCCGTCACCGTTTGAGAAAATCAAGATGGCGTCCGGCACCCGAAGATGAACCTACGGAATAGAACGGACTCCTGCAAATTCGCCTCCTGCACGGAAAGCATCTCGCGATGGGAGAGGTAACGACGGAGCACCGCCTGGTACCGCGCCTGATTGGGCGTCTCCATGACGACGGCCGTCACGGCCCTGTAGTTAGCGTAGAGATGCAGGATTGTGCACAGCGTGAATAGAAGCCATATCAACCTGCGAGAGAATCACACGTGAGAGAGGCTGTCAAATACCGCAGGCAGACGCCGCGACAAATATCGGTGCAGTTACAGGTGGAAGTGAGAAAAAACTGTACGTGGTCGATGAGTTGCGCGATTTCTGTAGAGATTGTAACGGATCTCATCGGTGCAGTTTGAATGGAAGTGAGAAAAAAACTGTACATGGTGGACGGAATTTACACGATTTCTATAGGGATTCTAACAGGTCTCATCGTTGCAGTTGCAGGTAAAAGTGAGGAAAACTGTACATGATAGACAGATCACGCGATATCCGTAGGGCTTGTAACGAATCTCATCAGAGCAGTTTGGATTGAAGCGAGAATAAAACTGTACATGATTGACGGATTACACTGTTTGTGTTTCCGTCGAGAGATATCTGTATTATTATTATTATGAAATCTTTATTGCATGAATTCAGATACAAATACATGTACTGACGACAGTTTTTTCATGGAGAAAAAATCTGATAAAAGCAATATAGTGTTAAGTAGTTAAAATGATAACATTTCTGACGGATACAGTACAATTACAATGCTATACAACATGAAGAAAAAATATGTATGGTGCGACACAAGCCTCGCCGGGCAAAAATCCGCGAAAACTTACGGCTGGTTTTCGGAGACGAGTGGGATCATGACGAAGCTGACAAGCAAGGCTGCGAGGTTGACCAACGTCTCCTGGCTGCCATCTTTAGCCGACACGTCGGCCATGTTGTTTCGCCTCGCCTGGTGCTGCGTCAGGGCGGCCCTGGTGGCTCCCCCTGCCACACTCACGAGAGCCTGAGAAAGAAACACACGTTTAATCGCAGGAGCGACGCGATGGCACAATGACGCTTGCGACCGTCTGCATTTTTCTGCATACTCTGTTTTGTAATTTCGGTAGAGTTTTGTAAACGACCGTTAGAGCTAACCCCACACTCTGCTTAGTACAAATGCGAAATGCATTCGTATTTAATCAAGTTCAATCAAGCTCAATCAATTCAATCGAGTTCATTCAAGCAAGTTTGCAAGTGCTACATCTTACCCTACACAATCCGGACACACAGACGATGAGTCGAAAAAAGCTCTTGGAAACCATGGACGCTATCAACTCCAAACATATCGCTGTGTCGTTCATGTAATCAGCAAATAGCCTGCAACGGGGACACGTCTTTCTCATCAGTCACGTTACTTATTTACAGTCACACGTGAATTTATTATTAAAAATGGAAAGTGATTTCACGGCAAGACATAAGCTCGGCCAAACTAGTGAAATTCTTTCACTGATAACTTGTTCGTTACTGAAGGACATGTGATGTACGTGTGATGCAGAGCATACCGGAAATCATTATATGTATCAACATGCAGACGAAACTTAAAACATACCTCCATCGTTTACAGTCAGAGTCAAGAGAAGACCTACAAGAACCAATATGCGAAATTACAAGATTAAAATCTCTAGCTTACTTATATTGAGGACACTTTATCAACACTTTTCTTATTCGTATGGACCCATGAAAATATAACCCATGAAAATCATGCTAGCAGAATATTTTCAAACAGACTTTTTCACAACCTACTAACCTCTCTTAAATGTTCAGGTGTGCATTTCAACTTTGCGTCTACAAAACAATATTTTAATAGTGGCTTGACATTATTTAATATGATAATATTCGCGGAAATTATTCATGAGAGTCTGACTAGGATACCTAGATACTCACCCTCTCAGCCATGCAAACATAATTCTGCCAACCATACTTGTTCCATCTAAAACACAATTCAGAACAAACAATCGATTTTAAACAGCAGACAGGACTATTTAGCATTTCAATACACTGCAAAACAGCAAGCTAGTACACTAAGTAAACCAGCAAATCAAATCCGCGTGGGGTAGCACAGGGGAGCCGTGCTCCGTAGAGGCTGTCCAGGCCTCTTCTTCACACATGACTAAGTACACTAAGCATGTCCTTTTCTTAATTAGCTTCAAGCATTTTTAGTGCCAGGCTGTGGACTCAATCAACACGTGACAACTCAATCAACACGTGACAAGTTATAGAACAGGTATACTTTGATATACCTTTCAGTAGCCAGGTAATGGTTGCTCCCATCGCTGTGGCCGTATCGTCTCCGACCCCAACACCCTTCAGGACGGATTGGGTGGCAAGCGTGCTGGATATACTGCTCGCAAATGCCTACATTTATCACAAGATACGTGTATTACTCTTAGTGACCTCTCTTGGCACCCCTACTGGGAGCTCATGATGCGCCGAAGTTTGTTAAGTCATTGACAGAGAAACAATTAACAGGCTCATTTGACAACACACTAACGCCCATCAATTTTGTTTACCTGTATTGTATCCCATATTTGGTAGTGTATGTAGTCACAGCTGACACTGTGTGGAAAACCTTGGGGAAGAAAAACTAGCTGCAAAGAAATAAAACGACACATTCATATATAAATTATAATCTTATTCTTGTGTTTGACAGCTACTGTGACCCCGTTGCAACATGCAGCAATATCTAGAATAAACCTGCATACACACCTGGGGAATAGGAAGCTAATTAACCGAAATACTGCCACAAAAAGATCGTACTCGTGGGACACAGATTGGCTGAGTGTGTATAAACGAAAGGCCTAGACAGGTCATCAATCCTTGAACTCATGACTTTTGCCTCTGTTAAATGTTTTTTTTTCAATATATATGATAATTTAGTCCGAATAATTCTTTTTGAATTTGCATTTAATTGTGCAATCTTGTGCAGTGCTTAAAAACTCTGGCTAGAGAGCTAGAGCAAATCAGTATTGCACTCTATGCAGCAGTGTCAATCATGGTATATGTTAGCTCCAAGAAACGGTATTGCTAGGGTTAGAATACGGTATATTGTACCGACAATTAGGTACAATTGCTAGGGTTAGAATACGGTATATTGTATAGACAATCCGTCGCACAGCCTGGTCGGGCTAGGTATATATGTATACTAGCATTAATATCTGATTACAGTTTTATAAGCGACTTGATCAGTGATCAGTGTAAGTGTGTATGTGCCATATTTTTTGTAACTTTTTATGAAAACCCCCGTTATATGAGCGGGCATCTCTATTTCTTAAGTTTTGACTGTCCCCGTCCAATGCACATGACAGATCTCTAGTCTAGGAGTCTATCTAGGCAACTCAATTGCATCGCTCCGACTTCGCAAAACAAGTTCAATAAGCTAGTTCGATCTCCCACAAAGTGGCATACATGAATCATTAAGGTCATAACACACTGCAGCGACAGCGACCCACCGTAACGACAAACCAAGGAGCTAAATATAACAAGGAGAGGAAGCGCCGCCATATCTGGCCCAAATTTGGATTCGGCAGAGACCCTAGAACAGATTAGTGTTCTATTGTCTCTGGGTTCGGTCTGCACAGCCGTTTCAGCTGATTATGGTCCATAGATGGCGCCCTTGAGGCGAAAAGCACCCAGCCAATCCGCTTTCTCTCCTTGTTATATTTAGCTCCTTGCGACAAACAACAAAAGTCGCGGCGACTGGCGCAAACACACTGCAGCGACAGCGACCGACGTTAGGTCAAAGTTCACCCAGCACTCGCCACAGTGGTACACATCATCACATGAACAAACGGCAAAAACTCATGCTGTTGCTTTTAAATAACAGGCCGCAAAAACTCTCTAGGTATAAGGATAAGATAATAAAGTAAAATATACGCAGCAAATTATCATGTACTCAGTATTGTACGTACTGTCACTACTGTGTCTAGCGTGCCACAGCTTGCACGCTTTGGTTAGACTGGTTCGCGACCCCATTGTTTGTGACATGCGGCGCGAGTTTAGCGCCGAAGACCAGTCTACGTCTTGGCTAGCATTATGGGTTATTTATGACGTGATCGTTATGTCACGTGCCGATGGAAACGGCTGCGATTGGCTATTTGTAAAGTGTCGCTCGCGACTGTCGCTGGAGAATAGAAACGTTCCTAAATATTTTTGTCGTCGAGGTTAATGTCGCTAGTCGTTGTCGCGTGTATGTGCAATGGCTCATAGAAAACAATATTTTCTAATTTTCTGAAAAGTCGTTCGTTGTTACGTCTCACGGTCGGTCGCTGTCGCTGCAGTGTGTTGGTCTATACTATAGTCAGTAACACTTATTCACCAATATTAATTGAGTGATCGATGTACACAGGGGCTTATTAGTAATACTAATAGCAAAAAATATATGAGACTGGACAGTCTGTAAATGACTAGTCGTATAGTGTACTGTGTTACGTGTACTGTGTAGTTAAAAACCTACTCTAAAGAAACTGATTAGTGAAGTCCACTGACACCGGATGCCTTTCTTTTCAGTTTTGACTCTCAATTTTAACTTATCCTCAGACTTGTCACTAAAATACGTTTGTTGTGACTTATGTGATCCAAACCACTCATAACAAACTGTGTCACGCTCTAACAACTCCTCGATATCCATCGGTTTACTCATCGCTTAGAAAAATAGGTAAAAACTAACAGAGTGCCACGCGCCATCAAATGACTGCAATGTTTACATCGCGAACATCCGGCTACCGATCATAAAAATCACTAATTTTATACGCCCGGTAACGCTTATTATTCGCTAGGTGGCACCACTACCTAAGACACTGTACCCGGTCACGGCGAGGTTACGTGTGTTTGTTTGATCTATGGTTTGAGGACGATGGCACCGAAGTTAGTTCACGTCGATGGCTTTGATGCCGTTGTGAAGGCGTTAGATGAGCACAAAGGAAGCTCGGTTGTTTTTGTTCTATTCTGTGGATCCCGTACCGCTAGAGGCGTGAGCTGGTGTCCAGACTGCGTAACGGGTAGGCATTGTTTTACAAATATCAAGAGTCAAAGTTAATTGCAAAATATCAGCTGTGCCATGGGCCGTAACCTTAATGTAAATATATACAGTACTCGGCACCTAAGTACAATGTAAATACAAAATTAGGACGGAAGTGCAAGTTACTGTGCATTGCTATACCTAACCACAGGCACTTGGGGCTGAGTCAGTAAAAACTGAAAATAATATGAACGCACATTCGGTCTTGCTAGTACGTAGAGCTGAGAGGGTCTATGGCCCCCGGGGTACTGCCGGAACGTACCCTGCATGGGTACGGTCCGGTATACCGGAACGTACCCTGGTACTATCTAATATGCCGAACCGTACCGCACCGTACCTCGCCTACTCCACTAACGAGTCTAGGGAGTCGCCTACGCCTACTCCCTAAGCCGAACCCTAATCCTAACCCTAACCCTAACCCTAATCCTAACCCTAACCCTAATCTTAACCCTAACCATATCAAATAGTGACCAGGGTACGTTCCGGCATACCGGACTGTACCCAGGGTACGTTCCGGCAGTACCCTGGGGGACATAGACCCTATGAGCGCTAGTAGAAGACAATCGGTCGCACAGCCTGGTCGGGCTACGGCTACCCCTCAATTACACTTCCACTGTTGTGTCACTGTAAATCAACTTGCTTTCACAAAAACTAATGTAGAACTTGCCGTTGCGAGTGTGCTGTGTCGCCATTATAATGATATATATATAGATCTAGATATAGATCTTCTATAATATTATAATGGTGACACAGCACACTCGCAGCGGCGAGTGCGGGAGCGGCTAATAAAATAGTAATAATCACCTTCTGATTCTTGTTTATGTACTTGTGCAGTTTATGTTTATTTATTACCTTCATGTTCAAGGTAACCTTGTAGGTGAAACTACGATAGGCACAAGCAAACCTAAGTGAAATGACCATAGTCTAGGCAACGAGTCCTTATCATCATTCGAATTTATGGCATACTGTTCCACCTACTGGCCAGATGGGTTCTGAGTTATTATATGCAGGAAGAAGGTTATAAGAATAAGTCCATATTTGCAATGTATCCACATTAAATCCACAACACACTGCCTGCGATTGATCCTTAAGGTAACAACTTACATATATCTCTTCACAGTCTGTGTTGATGACATTATATTTCTCGCTTACAGCCGAACCTATTATTCACGAGTCCTTCAAGAAGTGCCCGGACGATCATGTGCTCATACACTGTACTGTCGGAGAGAGAAACTTGTAAGTTTCATCTCTACGCTTGACACAGTATGATATGGAGCATAGTTAGCGTAACACTCGGTGCGTTTTGGTTTGATTCAATAACTAATCGATCATGTTCGTTTGATCCTGATATGTGCCCGAACAACCACCGGTCATGTTATAACCAGTCTGTTGCATCTGTTCGTAAGTATTTCATTAGCTAATGAGGTTAATGGACAGAGTCAATAGCTCAATAGCTCATCAGCTACAACTCATGACCATCTGGTGCCTAAAAATCTCTAACATCATTGAGAGTTACAACATTAATAAATTGAAGGAAGCATGGCTCGATTGAACCACACTTGTGTTCTTTTGTATAGTTATTGTATGAAGTAGCGTAGAGTTAGAGTGCATATTCGTAATAAGTTAACTCATTTATTTTACAGCTGGAAAGACAAGGCCTGTATCTTTAGAACTGACGCACGATTCAAGTTAAACGCTGTGCCAACACTAATGCGATGGGGCAAGGTATTAATATGTGTAAATTCCTGTTATATAATTTATTATACTTGCTATTGTGATTTTGTGATGCTATTGCTATGATATTTTATGTGCTATTCATTGTGATATCGATTTTATTGACTGTGCATTCTACGCAGCGAAGTATACCAGTATATACAGTAAGCTTAAAATTCATCAAGCAATATCAATAATCGTCAGTGTCTAACAGACAGAATTATAAGAAATTTGACTTTTATTTACCATATATTATTATTATGCTTTATTTTGCAGCCTCAGCGGTTAGAAGAGACGCAGTGCACGGATCCTGGCCTCGTTGACATGCTATTCGAAGATGAATAAAGTTGCCTGTAGGTGGCGCCACGATTCAGTTTTTAGTTTTCAGGAAATCGTACATTTCCAAATGCTGAAGTTTGTCCTTGTATACTGCTTGGTAATTTAACATGTGCCTCTTTTCACAACAACAATATAATACTGAATTAGTCAATTCGAATGTCCTAATAATTTAAAATGAGAACACCCTAAAGAAAATGATGTTTTATATTATTTTCAATCAGGTCAGCTATCCAATTTCGAACTTCCAAGATTATGCAGTCATTGTTATTGAGAACTACTGCACTAACGGGAGTGTATAAATGTATTTAAGTATTTTAATTAGATAAAGTAGTATTCTGGATTATGTTTCACCTAGAAATTTCAAATATTGTAATTATGTGATATGTTGCAAATACAGTTTCATACATACAGTAATGTGGTTTAACTCTATAAAGAGATGTTGTGAATTAGTTTATGTGGCTATAAGCCTGGTTATGAACAATGACAAAAAATGTTAATAAAAAATAATTGATGACTACATTATTCTTAGTTAATATATTTATAAATAGTATATGTACTGAACACACAAAAATAATTTCCCGTATATGTTCTGCTACATGGCAAACTAGTTTTAATTATACATTGGTTCATTTTTAAATTCAGAGAGTAGTTTGCATTCTAACATGATACACCAATATCATATTTTGCAAAAGAAGTTGGACAAAAAAGCATACTGACTACTACGTGAGCGTTTAAATTAGAATATGCTGTTATTGAATGAAGAAGTTGCTTAGAACATTTAGGCGAAGTATTTTGCTAATCGTGTATTAATTACAGAGGATTACAAACAAATATGTTTTTACAGATTTTGCATCTTAACCAATGCAATTTGCGTGTGTGTACGCTACTCATGTATATCTAGCAGACCATTGATGCTACATCGCTTAGAAGTTAGATTGTACATCTTACGTTATTTTATACGCATGCATTCCTGCCCTTCCATGTCCTGTTGCCGTCTACTGATCTCCGGTGTGTATTCAGAGTACCGCCTTCTCCTATCGGCCCACAATACGCGGTACGATGTATTTAATTTCCCGCCGCGCCCTGTCGGGTCCCGCGAGGCATCCGGGTCATTTGGATCCGCGCAATAACTTTGAAGTCGCCGCCGCCACAGACGAACGAGAATGAACGTGCGCAGAAGCATGTAGGCGCGCAGAGCTACGCTAGGCCTTCGCGTTAGCTGGAAATTCCGCGAGGAAATATACAGGAAAAATGACATATCTTTCACATCGGATAGGAAGATGATACGTGGATTACTATTGCTAAGCCTGGTGTTGTGTGTCCCTGCACTAGGCCACGAGAGAGCCATTTTGGAAGTGATTTTATACGAGCAATCGGAAAATGGCGAGTTCCAAACGTACACATCGGAGCTGGTGGGCCAGTATTCTGATGCATCGGAGAAGACCAACGCAGAAGGGGACATTGTACAGGTAAGGTCTCTCTAGTTTTGCAATGCAGTATCACTGGGTAGTGCGTTTGCGATTCCTTGGCTCGTGTTTGGTATCTTGATCTTGATGTTTTTTTTGCACACCCACATGGATCCCAATCTTATCAACGAAAGTTTAGGTCTGATCCAAGATAGTTTGTCGGTAAACATTACGTCAGGCAGGCCCCTTGCCCTTGGAGCCACAGGCACTTGGAACGTTTCCAAAAAAAAATGTAAACACGAAATGTATTTACTACCAAAGTCTTAATGTTTCTCTACTCTATTTCGCCTATTATTGCCGATAACTTGCTGTAAAGCTGTAAATGCCGTTAAAATGCTCATCTGCAACACACAAGTACACCACACGCCCGCCCTGTACACAAACAACATGAATAAGAGAGAATGAAACAATCATAACAAATGATGAACTCTCTTATTAAGTTATTTATTGAGACGTTCCAAGTGCCTGCGCTTGGAGCTACATAGAGAGTACTCACTAACAGAGTGTTCTACAGCGGTTCCCCTATGTTCCCGTTACTTGAGACGGGCTCGCTGTTAAATGTGGTCAGGAAAGCCACGAGGGATTCGCAGTCCGGCGAATGTTATGGGTGCCACATTGAGCAAAAAATTCACTGTAGTGACTTTGGGTAATTTAAACTCGCATCCGATTGGCATTGACGTGAAAGTTTAACACGCTATATATAACCTGGGCACTGGCCATGCCGCGGTTTCTTTCCCACATTGATTATGCGTGGTTGTTTAGCTCGTGGAGCCTATCGCATGGCATTGATTGGCGGGGCTGCTGCTAGTAATAGTACCTGGTCGTAGAACTGGTTCACCAAAACAACATGCAGTGACGTCACGGGTTAGGCAGACGAGGAAACGAACGCCACAGGAAGGCATTTTGTCATGTAGGTGATAATAGTTGTTCCGAGGAACCTTGCAAACATGCGAACGTGCAAACATGATGTAAATTACGTGACGTAGACCATGTTGCGTGGGGTGTGCGTGTGTGTGTGGTGTGTGTGATGTGTGTGTGTGTGTGTGTTTTGTGTGTGTGTGTCGTGTTTGGTGTGTGTGGTGGGGGGGGGGGGGCTATAGTATATACCCTGAATTATCAGGGTCTGCATAATTCTGCTACTACTAACTAGGGTCGTTATGATTATGCTATGATCATGCATCAGCACGCGTGATAATTAAGGGTGCGGTGAGGGTCTCCTTGAACCAATGATCATCGTCACTGTCATCGTTCTGTAGAGGAAGGTTTTTTAACGGTATATGTTGGTAGTCGTAGACAATGATTGTCGACAGGACGTCGTGTGTAATAATATAGGCTGGCTTTATTATAACGATATATAATATATATATATATATTATATATATATTACGACATACATGGGCTCAACAGTACGTGAGTGCATTGTCACAGTTGTGGGTGATCTTTTAAAGTCCGTGTTCACATCGATATCATTAGCGTGAAAGACACATGTAAAGAAAACGACTGACACGGATCACAACTCTAACCCCACAAGTTGTCCGTCTCCGGGGTTAAAACTTGCAACGGGTTGTTGAAAGGTGTACGACTACATTTACATTTCAATGCCCGCTGAACGCGTAGCACGGAAACCGCATCTGCGGGCTAAGTGTCTGCAATGTTGTCTTTGTAGCGCGGCTGGAGGGACTGGGTTTGCATCGCGTACAACATACATGTATATATCTACAGACAGTACAGCTAGCGCAGGCGTACGTACAAGCGCACAACGAGCATTCTTCGAATGCAGGCAGGCATCACCCGCGGGCTCGCATCTCCCGGCCAGCCCCGCTGAAAAGGCATGCGAAAAACAGGCCATATACTCATAGAGCCATAAAAGCAGGGTGCGTGTTATCTCTCCTTTGTAGTGCACCGCCTCTCGAGCGCACGTAGACTGTCCCCCGCGGCCCGAACGCCGTGCGAAACACACGCATCGCGTCGACGGACGGGGACAGTCTATGTTGGCAGTGCGCCGTTTTTGAGATGACCCGCTCCGTATATATACACGGGCCCGCCGATGCTACTAGCTTGCTTGCCGCAATAAAGCTTGCGGTATTCGGTTCGGCCCTCGTCGTATACGTATATGCGCGGTGTTCGGCCGCGTTATAGTGGTGGGCATTGCCTTTGACCGGGACTGGTTCTTACGAATATAGCCCCCGTGACCCGTTGAAATTCTTCCTCCTCCTCCTCCCTCCCCCGCGCTCTTGCTCCCGCTCCCCGCAATAAAACTTCCGACAACAGGAAATTATACGCGGCTTACTAATTGTGTATTAGTCGCAGCGGACCGACGCTGCATTCTAATGCCGGTTTACGGGGGTGGTGTTAGCCGGATGGTATCTCTGTTCGCGTGAGAGAGAGAGTGAAAGAGAGAGAGAGGCTTAGCGTGTCGGTGCCGGATCTCCTTCTATAAGATGCTAAAGAGGCTGCCGCCGCCGCCGCCGCGCGTATCGGCGACTCTCTTGTGATGATATCATTCGGTAACTGTTCATAACTCCGTAACTGATGATAAACTGTTGATAACTCTGTAGCTGCTGATAAACTGATGACTATGGCCTTAACCTAATATGGCTACCCATGACCATATTATCTAATATAAGTCTTAAAGACTATATAAGATTTAATATAATATATATGACCATATATATCTAACCATAACCCTAACCTAACTCTATAACTAACCATAATCCTAACCTAACCCTAACCCTAACGTTAATCTATACATAACCAAAATCACAACCAAATTCTATACCTGACCATAGCCTAACACAACCCTAACCCTAACCTAACGCTATAACCAACCGTAATGATAACAGACCTGCATACATAGCCATCCAAGATCGGAACCTAATCCTACATCCATCAATAAAATCAGGGATTCTGAAATAGGAATGAAGCGTTTTGCTAGGGAAAGCAAACATCAATCTACATGTAGATGTGAATGCCTACGTGTAGATGCAGAATGCCTAGGCTACGTGTAGATG